TTGAAACCTCAGACAAACAAGGACTCTCCGGGGCACTCATAGTAACCCAATTTCATATCTGATCAAATGGAAAGTCAAAGAGGTTGAGTGACTTGCCCAAGGTCACAAAGTCAGTAAATGACAGAGTGAATTTTGTAACCTAGTTCAATGAGAGAACAAAGGTGAGGTAAGTGAGTGCCTGATTCAACACGTGTGAGTTGTGTTTATTAAAAGGGAATAATAGCTCATCCCAGGACCACAGCCTAACCTGCCAAGATGACCAAGAAAGCACACAAGTAGCGCCCTCAGAAAAGTGGAAACAAAGAAGTATCCAGGCATCACCTTGTTTTTGAGTTGAAAATGGAACATTCCATGGTGAGCACTCTGCCGATCAGTACTGGTACCCAGCTCTGTCACTGAGGGGGCAATGTCTCTCATTACGGGAGCTTTACCTCCTCAAGGGAGACAGGAGTGTCCCATCTTCCTCGCAGACTCACTTCAATGAACAAACAACAAGCTAGATTTTATTTACTAATTCTACTTCAAGTTACAAAGATAATTCATCTTCATGACAAGAAAAACTGTGACATCCCCAAAAGAACAAAGAAAATTTAAACGCCCCAACCCTGTCACTGTTACTGTTATGTGTCCCGGAGTGCTTCTGTTTCAAGTGTGAATGCATGCTGATGCATTTGATAGAATTGAGGGGCTGCTGTGCAAACTACGTGAAGCTTGCTTCTTTTGCTTGCAGTGAATCTTAAACATCTTCTTTAAATCTTCTCCACAAATGTGTGGGTTTTGTTTTTGTGTTTTTGAGATGGAGTCTCGCTCCATCACTCCAGCCAGAGTATAGTGGCACAATCTTGGCTTGCTGCAACCTCTGCCTTCCGGGTTCAAGCAATTCTCCTGCATCAGTCTCCTGAGTAGCTGGGATTACAGGCACCTGCCACCACGCCTAGCTAATTATTGCGTTTTTAGTAGTGATGGGGTTTTACCATGTTGGCCAGGCTGGTCTTGAACTCCTGACTGCAGGTGATCCATTTGTCTTGGCCTCCCAAAGTGCTGGGATTACATGGGATTACAGGCTTGAGCCACCGCACCTGGCCCACAGATGTGTTTCTTAATGGCCATGTGGTATTTCATAACGCAATAATTTATTTAACCAACTCCACATTATAGGATATTAAGGCTGTCTCCTATTTTGCATGATATTAAAAAATCATGATAGACTTTCTAGAAAATAAATGTTTATATACATCTCTGATTACTTCCTTTGGACCAATTCTCAAAGCAGAATTATCAGATTAAATTATTTGCACATTAAGACTTTTGATATATTTTGCAAATTCTATTCCCAAAAAGTTTATCTAATTTTTATTCCCAGCCATTAGTGTATGGGATTTCCTTTCTCATTAGCAATAGATCACATTTTTATTAAATACACATTTGCCAAGTCAATTATTTAAAAAATTATATTTAACTTGCATTTCATTGATTAGCCTTTCAAGCATTTGTTGAACATCTACTGTGTTAAAAACTTTACTGGAAACTTTCACAGATATGATCTCACTTAAACACACAACAGTTCTTTGAAACATATAGAATATCTTATTTATGTATGTATGTAATAGAGACAGGGGTCTTGCTATATTGCCCAGGCTTACTCCTGGGCTCAAACAATCCTTCATCCTTGGCCTCCCAAAGTATTGGAATTACAGGTGTAAGCCACCACACCTGGCCAATTATCTCCTTTCAATAAAAAAGGAAACTTAGGCTTGGGCTAACAGGCTTTGTGGTACCCCCTGACACACACCAGCTGTGTAATCTGGGGGAATGTTCGACTTCTCTGAGCTCAAGAATACTAATGAGCTGACCCTCTTGAAAGTTCTTGTGTTTCTTCTGCCCTATAACCTTGAATCCTAAACCACAGAGGAACAGGAAGCCAGGGGGATGCTGTAATACTCCTCTCCTGAGTAAAAAAAAAAAAACCCAAAAAAACAAAAATAAACCCTACCATCTCACACATCCAGAGTACCCACTTACAAACTCACACCTCATTCCTCCATCACAGTCTCTGCCCTGGGACCTTTGCACACGTTGTTCCCTCTGCCTGCAATTCTTTTCCTCCCCACATTATACCTGATTAATTCCTACTCATCATTAGGGCTGTGCTCAAGTGTCACCTCCCCCAGATGGGGTTAGGACCCCTTGCCTTATCCCTCTATGGCACTGTGCACTCTGCCTTTCTAGCAATTTCTCCCACTGCAATTCATTGAGAATGCACATAATTTCCTAAGGACTGTCTCTCACAGAGCTAATTCTAAGTTTCAAAGGGCACAGCCTCTATCTCTTTGCTCATCACTGTGTCCCTGGTACTTACCACATGTCCAGTCAAAAGCAAGCATCCACTAAATATATTATAGGAATATAACAATGTTCATCATGCCTCAGTATGGTTTTATTAATGTCATGATAAAACTACATTAACTCTTGAACACTGCATCCTAATCCTACTGATTCAGTGGAAAAATCCATGATAATCGTTTAGAACCCAAAGAGGTTAACGTGTATTGGTTATGAAACAACAGTGTCCCTTGTCTGATTTCTGAAGGCTGCTGTGAACATGTTTTTAATGGTTTTCTAATGGTGGCAACTGTTTGAGTGGTGGGGTGGGGGTGCTGATCCCTAATTTGGATGATGTTCTTCTGAAAGGATAAGACTGTCTGTTGTATACAGCTGATAAAAGTAGTTTCAAAGGCAATTTCTTCAAAGGCAACTCCTTTTTTTATTAATTGATATCAGAGCAAATATCTATTTGGAGCACAGTCAGAATTTCTTCAGTGAAACTTTGCTAATGCTGTCCTTTGGGGGAACAGGAAAGCCATTGACCTAGTTTCTCCACTGCACTTGAAAGATGCTGAATTGCCATTTCTTTATAATTAATTCACACTTCTCAGGGGTTCTTTGCCTGGGAAAGATCCTAGGGGACCTGATTAAATGAATAATTTGTAATCAACAAACCAATTGTTTCTTTTTCAAGGAGATGTGGCATATTTGATAGCTCTTGATAATCTGAGGGGTGTGGGCATCAAAATTACAAAAACAGAACAAATCTGCAGCACTAATGTACTCACCAATTTGCTGCTCTTTCTGTCCCATAAGTGTTCTAGAGGTCAAGTTCACAAATCCTAAATCCATGGATTTTAAGTAAATACCTGATTCACTGATGGTTCATAAAGTCATTTGCAATGGAACCACCAAAACGCCAGGTTCCAACAATTAATTCAGAGAAAGAGATTCTTGAAAAACCCAAACATTTGGTGTTACATATGGTACGACCAATACCATTTTTAGATAGTTAGAATTCCTAAAGTCTTTTCTTCTCTAATGCCTACACAAATTCCATTAAAACAAAAAAAAGCCTCATTCCAGGGATATAAACCAGTGTATACGTATAGTCGGCTTTATCACACTCAAGGACAATGGATCCCAAATTCCCCTGTGATGGGCACGAGAAAGCACATGGGGTCAGAAATTCACATGAAGGACAACCCCTTCCTGTTTCCTTCACTTCCTATCCCCTCTATTCAGTCAGTAAAAAGAACAGGAAAAAAATGGGTGTTCAAGTTCCTTGTACTTGTTTAAGCACATGGTATTTATTAGGCATTAATGGCACACAAATATAAGGCACGAGTACTTAATTCTCACCCTCCCCCCTTAGCAACATACAGAGACATAATTGCATAGGGACACTCACTTACAACACACTCACACGCTCACGTACTTAAACACACTCAGCCTCACATCTTACCCTGTTCTCTTTATTAGGGTCTGTTTAAAAAAAAAAGAAAGAAAAAAAAATTCTTTTTAATCAAAAAAAGCAAAGCACATTTGAAAGAGGAAAAAAAAAAAAAAAAACCACAAACTTGGTTTTGAGTATCAATAAAATTAAAAGCTCTTGGCCAGCTCGTATGCTGGGTTTCATTTCATGTTATTACTTAATTAGAATTCCTATTTATAAATAAATAGTACCAGTAAAATATTACATCTGAAGAACCCTACCATAACACTTTACTTACACACTTTTTTGTTTTTAATACTGTTTTCTGTTTTCAGTAAACATAGTTTTGTGTTGGCACTGGTGTGGGCGTGATTTCTTTGGAGAGACATCATCGGTGAGTGCGTCTTGCCTCTTCTGTAGAAATTGTGGATTCTGCTTGACAACCAGTTTGGGTTGTTGGTGATGGAGGTTTGGAAGGTTGGGGATGGCCTTGTTTTTTTCATTTTTTTTTTTTTAATCAGGAAGAATATTTATTTTGGCTTTTTGTCCACAACTCTTGTCAGCACAGTTTGAGCTGTTATCACAGTCCTGCCTGTGTGTAAACCAGGGCTTTTTAAGTTTTTCAAAGCAAGCTTTCCGGAGGGGAAGCTATAGGCCATGTTTTAGCGACAGACAGCTGGAAAGACAGAGCTGGCAAGATGGTAGGGCTGAATAAGATAGGATGACAGGGGGCGTCAGTGTTATCCTGACTCCCTGGGTAAGTAGAGGCAAAACTGAGCACCGTGATATTGGAGAAGGCAGGACAAAACCAAAACAAATGGGGACATCACATGGCAGAGGTAGGTGCTTTTCTCAGTCAAGGGGATACGTGGTGAATTTAGGTTTCAGGGATAGTTTATTGGAGGGGAATTCCACAAGTACATATTTTGAAATATACTTGCCTCAGACCTCCCCCCAAATAAGGGACTGGGTCCCATTAAGAAAATTGAAAGAAAAAAATATATTATTATTTATTATATAACAATGTCAACATTAACACCAAGACAGGGAAAGACTCCAACTACGCACTAGGAAAAAACACTCGATGAGGCAAGACTTTCTAGAGCCCAAAAGAAGGAATGGGGGAAGAGATCTGGGCAGTGGCATGAATGTGGCTGGTTGATGAGTGTGGTAGTGGGGGTGGACTCATCTTTTTCTGTGTGTGTGTGTGTGTGTGTGTGTGTGTGTGTGTGTGTGTGTGTTTAAGTTTTGAGACAAAACAAAAAAGTCACATTTTTTAAATTGTGGTTTCAAGCTACTGATTAGATCAGCGTCCAGCGACCTTGAGTGCAGATGTGAACATTGGGTGAAATGAAAAATCTTGTCCGTGGGGTTCTCTTGGCTACTGTCCCTCTCCTTCCCCTTCTCCTCTCTTTCTCTCTCCTCTCTCTAGGAAATGTCTGTTGTGAAGCAGGCCTCACTTTAGCTATTGTCGCTCCACTCTGGCACCATGCCAACTCCGTGCACAGAGTGGTACTGATGTGGGGACAGAGTCCTTGGCACACCATGAGAGTAGAGGAACTCGGGGGGCTGAAGGGTGCCGGGGGACTGCAGGCCAGTCTGAGGCCCACACTGCCTGACCACAGGCTGGTGGGCCACGGAGGTCTGGTGCTGGAACATTCCCTCTCCCAGCTGCGGGGAGCCATGGTTGGCCATGCCAGCCAGCCGGGGGACCAGTGGCCCCGAGGTGAAGTGAGCAGAGAAGTGCTGGTAGGGTAGCCTGTCCATGGGCTGCACGGTGGTGACGGTGCAGCTGCTGTAGGAAGGCATGCTTGGCCACGTGTTGCAGCTGATGTCCTCCAGGCTGGGCACAGGCTCGCTGGGGGGCGCAGAGCTGGCATACATGCAGGCCTGCCGCTGTGCCGACTCTGTCCTGTAGGAGCCACCCAGGCCCTGCTGCTGCGGGTAGCTGGAGCGGTAGAAGGAATCTTCTTCACTGGGTGATGTCTCCATGTAGGGCTTCTTATAGGGATGGTCTGTGGTGGAACATTCTTCCTCTGTGAAGACAGGAGAGACAGCAATGAGGCCAGGAGTGAGCACCAGGCAGCTAAAAGTGGAGACAGTTATTTGGCCAAAGTACTGAAGAACAAAGCCTGAGAGATTGTTAGCCCTCACCGCCATTCTGAAAATGCAAGGGAAGTGGGGTGGACTGTAATGGTGAAGACCTTGGGCTATGGAGTTCCATGCAAACAGTTTGACCTTTCTGGATTCAGTTTCTTCATCTGTAAGATGGAAAGGATAATAATAGCCCTTCCTACAGAGGGCAGTGTTGAGGAATTAAATGGGAAAATATATGAAGCACTTAGTCCAGAACCCAGAAACATTCAATAAACAGCAACTAGCCAGGTGTAGTGATACACACCTACAGTTTCAGCTGCTTGGGAGGCCGAGGCCAGGGGTCGCTTGAGCCCAGGGGTTTGAGACCCGTCAGGGAACATAGTGAGACCCACACACCCGATCTCAAAAATAAATAAATAGCAATTATTATGATCTTGCCTCCTCTCCAGCATGTAAACTTCGTAAAGGCGGGACATTGTCTGCCATCTCCATCACTATATTCCCGGAACCTAGTAAACACCTACTCTTAATAATAACAGTAGCATCAACAATAAGTCAAAACAAACACATATAGTGTGTGCTCTGTGTAGCATGATTCTAAGCACTCTCCATAAAGTAACACACTTAATCCTCACAACAACCCTACCAGGTGGGTTTTACTATTACCCTCGTCTTACAGATGAGAGAAAAAGGACTCACAGAGGTTAAGAAGCTTGCCCAAAGTTTTACGTGGCTGATAAGCAGTAGAGCAGGATCAGAATCCAAGTAGTCTGACTACAAAGTCCTTGCTTTTCACTTCCTTGCTACATAGAGAAGACATGCAATCAATATTTGTAAGATGGATGGATGATGGATGGATGGGTGGATGGAGGATGGGTAAGTGGGAGGGACCTTGAATGAATGCTCAGATCCTTTCCTGATGCCTCATGTAAGCAGGTGCCTAGTTAATATTTGTTAAGTTGGTACAAGTTAATGTGTTGCTGTTTCCTGCTGAGCAAGTCACTTCCTCCCCTGTGCACTAGTTATTTTCTAGTGTAGGGCAGTGGAGATAGTTCTGTCTCTGAAAGGGAGTCTCCTTTCACCACTTTGGGGTCCCTGGCCCCTTTGGAAACAAGCAAAAGTGCTGGACTCTTTCCTAGAAAACTATGCTGAAACACAACGTGTTGAAAACTGCATGTGCATACAAGGCTTTGCATACAATTTCAGGGGATTCGAAGACTCCCTAAAACTCAGACCCCAGGTTAAGAAGCCTAGACATGTCTGGATTTGAATCAGGCTCCTTTATTAATGTCTGTGTGATACCAGTAGACACCAGCACCTACGTTCAGAGACTCATCATCATCTCTGAATCAAAGTGAGTAATACTTACCTCAATGGGTAGCTAAGAATTAAGTAAGATTGAGCATATACACCTCCTGATGCCCATCAACATGAGCAGCTCTTTTTTGCAGGGGTAACACTACCAGTCAATCTGATGGTAGATATAATTCACAATAATACCTTCAAGTTATTCCCTTCAGGGTAAACAATACTTGGGGATACCTACCAAAGTGTAAAGCCCAACCCAGACTCATTTATTAGCTGAAATTTTACCTTCTGGACTGAAAATTATCTTTCTTCATCTTCCTATCTTGTTCTAGTCAGTAAATGTTAAGAAATTATGTCGGTCTTTAGAAGGGGTGAAGAAAAATGAAACACTGAGGCATCCGTGCAACTCACTGTGATGGCTGATGGCCATGAAAACAGAATACTGAACTAAATAATGAGAGGAAATGATCAGAGATACTATTTATTGAGCACCTACTATGTGACCTTACTCTTTATCTCACAGTAATTTTCCTCAAGGTGTCTACTGTCATGCCTGTCTCACAAAGGCAGAAACTAAAGCTCAGAGAAGTGACTTGCCCAAAGTCACATGGCTGAGAAACAACAGAGGCTGGAATCCAAGCCAGATTGGATTGACTCTGCCTACACACCTTGCTTCCCACTCTCTAGATTTCTAATATCCAGTGCCACTCACGCAATCATACAACAGATCATTACTGAGCTGCTCCCCAGTGCTAGGTATCGCGCCAGGTGCTGGAGAGAGGGTGGTGAACAGGGTAGACATGACCCTGTTTTTGGTGCACGTCCTCGATTCCAGTCCATCCTACCGTGAGCAGTAAGTGAGGGAGGCTGACACTCTGTGACAGAGGGTGTCCTCAGATATAAAGCCTCAAGTAAGCCATTCTTTCAAGAGTAAATCCGGGCCAGGCACAGTGGCTCACCCCTGTAACCCCAGCACTTTGGGAGGCCAAGGCAGGTGGATTGCCTGAGGTCAGGAGTTTGAGACCCACCTGGCCAACATGGTGAAACCCCATCTCTACTAAAAATACAAAAGAGTTAGCCAGGCATGGTGGTATGTGCTTGTAATCCCACCTACTCAGGAGGCTGAGGTAGGGCAATTACTTGAACCAGGGAGGTGGGGGTTGCAGTGAGCCAAGATCATGCCAGCCTGGGTGACAGAGCGAGACTCTGCTTCGGAAAAAAAAAAAAAAAGAGTAAATCCTTTGGCTTTGGTAAAACAGCTCCCCAACCCAGGTAGAGTAGCTTGGGTTTGGGTTCCACCAATCACCTCCATTTGTATCATTGTCCAAGTGACACCCACAGGTAAGCCAAAAGTGTCCACGAACAAAATGTGTCTATGTTGGGGTTCTGCCCACTTAACAGCAAGCACATTTATTTTCAGCTAGACTCTTTCTGGGCCACATCTGGGACCCATAGGATGCCCCAAAAAATTATACCAAAGGAAAAAAGTGAAAAACACACTCTTCCAGGTGTTCTGTCTACATCATGCCAACCATCCAGATGTTTGAAAACATCCAGATGAGTCTTGAAGACATTGATATACTCAGCTTGGTTCTGTCCTCACCACCTCCTCCCTTGATTCCTTCCCTTCCATTCTTCCTTCCACTCCCTAGATTCATAAACCTGAGTGTTTCCATTGTTGCTGGAATCATAACTTTTGGGTTTTCCATTTAATCAGTGTGTTCCTCTTTTCAATAACAGAAAGTACAGCTGCAGGGTACCCTTGGCAAGAGAAAAAAACAAGGCAAACTAACCATTCTCAAGTTTCTGATCCCCTTCCAGATTTGTTACAAGTAAAAAAGGAAGAATAATAAGAAAACGGCCGGAACACATTTTGGAAAATCGTAAAATTATACATTCCAGTCTTTAGTACCCCAAAGATCTAATGCAGAGCACCAAGAAAAACTCAATTTTGGCTTATTGATGAAAGCAGGTCTTGAACATTCTCAAATTCCTCTCAGGCCTCATCACATTGTAAAGAAATTCCAACTCAAGGATCCAAATTTCAGGTCAGTCATGATAAATGTTCTGGATATAATCTCTGTGTTTATTTTGGTTATGGCTTGGTTTCTCTCTTTCTCTCTCTCTCTCTCTCTTCCTCTTTTTGAGAGCCCAATAACTGTTCAACAGTAAATAAATGTCTCCAGCCAAGTCATGATTAGATTTCAGGGTTGGGGCTGTAGTTAGGTATCAAGTCTTCTGATGAGGTGAGTCCACAACTCAGCTTCAGAAAGCTGCTTATTAAGCTTGGTCAATTATATTGCAACTATCCTAAACCCAAATGAGTCTCTTAGGTAACAGGGAAGTTATTCCTGATTCTGACCACTCATTATGGCATGGCGCTATAGAAAACTCTAGTCCTTTGGATTTTTCTAGATGGTTTTGATTCTGGATAAAGTGACTTTAGTAATGCATCCAGGGCACAGATACTAGGGCACAGGGTTATGGCTCCAATTTTCACTGGCCATGTGACTATGGGTGAATCACCAGGTCAGTACAACCTCAGTTCTTGACTGCAAATGGAAATAATACCCGAGCTTTTCATGAGATTTAATTGTGGTAATACTAAGTTCAGGTGAGTTTCTATCTTCCTTGCACATAAAGCGTTCAAATCTTGTCTGTTCAAATGACCTGTGTCTACTCTCTTTTCCCTTTTTCTCTTTTGGAAGACTGGACAGATAGCTTTCTGAAAGGTGTCCCATACTTAAAAGTATATGGGTAGATTACAGAGCTGGAAAGCTCACAGAGTTCTTTAAATATTAATTCTAGTGAGCAAATATTGTCACAATTCCCACATGGGTCATTTCTCTTGCCAATTCAGTTCATTCAGCTGAAGGACCATTGTTGTCTTCCCCGATAAACACCCTGAAACTCAGAGTAGTAATCTCTCTAGCTGAGTGACCTTCAGCAAGTTAGAAAAGTAGCTATAATTCAGGCCTTCTGACTCACAAAACAGTGCTCATTCTGACAGATGTGGCAGATGGCCCTAGGCTTTCCATTTCATGCAACCCTACCTGCTCAGCCAACATGAAAAGGTAGCAACCCTTGACTCTCAAGGATGAGTGGGTGGATGAGTAGATGGATGAATGGGTGGGTAGATGTATGGGTGGGTGAATGGGTAGATGGATGAATGAGTGGGTAGATGGATGGGTGGTTGGGTGGGTAAATTAGTGGGTAGATGGGTGGGCAGATGGATGGGTAGGTGGATGGATGCGTGCATGGGTGAGTGGCTGGATGGGTTGATGAATGGGTGGGTGGATGGATGAGCGGGTGGATGGATGGCTTGATGGATGGGTGGGGGGAGGGATGAGTGAGTGAATGGGTGAGGGGATTGGTAGGGGGATGAGGGTGTGGATGAGTGGGTGGATGAATGAATGAGTGGATAGATGAGTGGATGGATGGGTGAATAGATGAATGGGTGGGTGGGTGGGTGGATGGGTAGGTGGATGAGTGAATAGTGGGTGGATAGGTGGGTGGATGAGTGGATGAATGGATAAGTAGGTGGATGGCTGGGTTTTTTTTTTTTTTTTTGGTGTTCTGTTTTTATTTTTGTTTTTGTTTTGGTGTCCCCATGCTCTTAGCGCTTAGTATA